TCAAGACTCACTTCTCCAAGCTTCGCAGATTATAAATTTTAAGAGAACACTTAACATGACCGATAAAAACAAACGGGTACTAATTAATAATCACATACTCGGATAATTATAGATAACTGTTAAGCATGGTTTGAACTAAACACCATTCCATCACTACATTATCCATTTCCGTATTTCATCATCCAAAACTAGACCAAACGCCCCCAAAAAAATTAAAAGATTAAAAAACAAAAACCCAAAACACAGATTTCACACACATTCACAAAAGAAGAGTAAAATATGTAGCACCAACAAAAGCTATCATCGGAATCGATACAAATTCAAATAAAACCAATCATGGCCCAGAGCTCTAGATCAAATCTCACCAAATCCAACACTTCAATAATTACATTTCATTTGCATAAATCCAGATTGAAATATACAAATCTAATTAAAGCCAATCGGAACTCCAATCATTCACAAAATTCCACAATTCCATAATCCTCTCACTTCTCTCCATTTCTCTCAGAAACCAAATAAAGAAACAAAAGGGAGAGATATAAACCAAGACCGAAATCCAATTCCGAAATCGACAGTCAAGGATCCAAAGAAATTTGTACGAAAAAGATGCAGGTTGGTGAAAATTTTCTCATTTTGAAAATACAGGGCCGATACATGACAAATTATCAAATTTAAGCAGAAAAAGAAGAACCTTTCTGTGCTTGGCGTTGAGCTCCTTGGTAACGTTGGCCTTCTCGTTCATGGTGACCGTACAACAAAAACTAGCAGACGCGAGAAAAGACGAAGAAGAAAAAGCAGCTCCGCGGACGAAGGTCAAATTCGTCTTTTTACGCTCTTTCTCTCTTTCTCTCTTTCTCTCGTCTCTCTGATTATTATGCGACCAAAAGAAAAGAAAGAGAGAAGGAGACAGATCGAGGCAGAGTCGCTCTTGACCTTTATTTTTGCCTTTCCTATTATCTCCGCGTGTTTTTTTTTTCTTTCACTTTTCTTTTTCTTTTCTTTTTTTCTTAGAGATGGAAGAAAAAAAAAACATTGTGATTATTACATGTGCAAAAATAATGACCCAATTAAAACTAGATCACATTGAACAGTTTTTCTTGTTTATAATTTGCAAATTCTCGAGAAAAAGTTTTTATGATCAATAAACATTTAAGTTTGTTTAAAAAAAAACGTTGTTAGAAGTTTTTGATCGTCATAAAAACACATTTATAATATAAATAAATTTAACATGAGTTGTTCGTAAATATTGAGTCAGGTCAGTTGGCTAGAGTAGTGCGTCAGTTAATATCGCTTTGTGAAAAGAAAAAAAAAATCCTACATAATGCGTTCAATTATTCTTGGTTAAAATATTTACAAATTTATAAATAAACTCAATCCTAGACATGTATTTATAAAAAAACCCAAGCACTATTTAAACATAGAAACACACCCAAAATCAACCTCAAAGTCAACTTTTTGGGTGTGTTTATAAATGGGTTTTGAGTGTGTGTAATGATGGGTTTTGGGTGTGTTTATATGTTTAAATAATGCTTGGGTTTTTTTATAATTTCAACCCCCATTTTGGGTGTTTTAGTGAAACTTCCAATAAAACATGGCATGCTTATCTAATCTTTGGAGGTTGTATTCGGAATTTTCATAGTATTACCAATAAATAACGACAAACACAAACACAAAAACAAATAGATTAATGCTGATTTATTAGTTTTCAATTATAAGTTCTTCAATTTGGAGATTAAAAACTATGTATTAGTCTTACAAATCAAGCTTAAAACAACGAGTTAAGTTCGAATTTGTTATAATAAAAATTTCAAATGCTCACGAATTTATGCCCAAAAAATCCACCAATTCACCAAATTTCATAACCTCAGTAAAAACTGTAAAATAACAGATCAATCAGCATAATCACAGTTTCATTGTTAATTAGGCTTTAATGGGGTTTCCACTTCTTGGTATTAAATCAAAGTTTTGAACAACTTTTTGACTAATCTTTGAACAACTATATGTATTAGGTGGATGACATTATTGAAATGGAAGCTAGATGGTGGGAAGTTTTTGTCTCCTCTAGTGCTAATCTAGCGGGGGAAGAAAAAATGCGGTTGATTTTGGCTCAAATTATGAAATTAAGTCCATGACATTGTCGTTGTCAATGATCAATCATACAGTACAATCAAGAGGATTTGATTTGAAAACAAGAAGAGAAAAAAAAAAATTAAATCTTCCCTTCAAGGCGATGCTTGGTGTGTAGTTCACACATTTCAACAAACAATAACAACACCACAACACCTACAACTGTTTTTTTTTTTCCTTTTACAAAAAAAAGAAAAAGAAAATTCTAGCTCGTTGTAAACTTGGTATAAATTCCTAGCTCATTTTTGGACAGTTTAAGTTTATTAGGTTAGTGGTTGTCTAATATGATATCAGAGCATTTCTTTACAACTCATTATGAGCTAGTGTGACTCTCGTTCCTCACTTTTTTGTCGGTTTATAGAGTGTAGGGATGCCTCTCCATTTTCAAAATTAACATACATGTGAGGAAAGTATAAACTTACATTGCTACTCCATTATCAGAGAATGACATAAAATTCATGAGGGAGTGAAGTTGTTGGCAGACAATAATAACAAATCAAGAGTGCAAAATTCAATTGTTATTTGTAGGTGGGAGGGGTGGTTTTGAGTCTTGAAGGTCATAAGTTGTGGTGGATGATCACAAAAAGTGGAAGAATTATTATGGTGGGAATCTATCTTTCTATCCCACTTAATAACAAGTGGGATAAAGTTTTAGAGTTGGCCTCGTCATGATGTCCACATGGCTGGATTCCTTATTGGCTTTCCTAAGCAGGAAATAATTAAATATCCTATTCATTTCTGTTAAGATGTCTTCATCATTTATTTTTATTTCTATTAATCTTGGTAATCAAATTTGTATGATTGGTTAATAGCATAATTTAAGCTAATCACTTTTTGAACTCGGATGTCGAGTGGCAAAAATTTCTACCGAGGCGGGTTCTCATATGGTCTCCGACTCTAATGGGGAAATTTCGGGGGGAAATTAGGGGCAAATATGGGGATCCTTGAATTTTAAAAATCCCCGATCAAAAACAGGTCTTGAATGGTATTGTTATCCCCATCCCCGAGCCCACCTCAATAAATAATATATTTATAACATAATATAACAAGTTAATACAGGAAAAAGATAACAATCAAAAAACAAGTAGATGTTTTTTTCGATGAAAAAAGGTTTAGGGGAAGGGAGGGGAGGCTACCCATCATAGGGGCTAGGGCGTATCAATATTTCTTTGAGGACTTACATAGGAGGTCTTAGCTTCTTTTTTAGTTTTTATAGATTACCCACTAAAAGAGATTGTTGGCAGCGGGACTTAAACCTAGATCTGAATAGCGAAGACAACGATCCTTACCAACTCAACCAACTATCGTTGATAACAAGGAGATGTTCTTCGTCTCTCAATCTTCTCTTCAATTGAAACTTGATACATGTGGACACACACTCGCAATTTTCCAGTACTCCATTTCTTTCTTGGTATCCAACTAATATATATACATATATATACATATATATATATATATATAAAACAGCACTCAAGAATGAAAGAAAATAATTGTAGTAGCTAGTTGAAATCCATATGCTTATTATTGTTGTAGTTAGTTTCTAGAAGCAATTGTATTCCTAATTCATTATGGAGATTATGGCAGGGAGAAATATATGCAGGGCCGGTTATGAGATTTTGAGGGCCCTATGCGAGACTTTAATTGGAGTCCTCACATAATCTAATATGAAATACTAAAAAAAAAATATAAAAAAAATCATGACTTAATGTCATAAAAATAATTTTTATATAACTAAAATTCATCATCAATTAGCATGTAATAACAATCACAAATCAAATCACAAATTTTTCAATGTTTTCATTTGATAAATTTAAATGTTAGTATGTACGATAAAAAATAAAATAAAAAGAGTTCAAGAGAAAGAAGAAGACATTAATTTTTTGTTGTTGTTGTTTTGTTTTAAGTGGAAGAAAGTTTTATTTTTTAAGGAGACAGTGTATGGGTGTGATATATATACTTTCCCCTTGTATTTTTCACGTGCTTCTTTTTTAAAACTATTTAAAATTTTGTTCTTATAATAAAAAGAGAATAAAATTATGAATATATTCACATCACTAGGACTCAAACCTAGACCTTATACCAAAGGATACATGCTAGAAACCAACTCCACGAAATACACTTTCGTGTTAATGTTTTGCTTGTTGGAGTATATATACAGTTATATTAATATATATTATATAAAGTAAAAAAATTTCGGGGGCCCTCAAATATCAGGGCCCCTGTGCAGTGGCACCACTTGCACCATGCCAGGGGCGTCCCTGAATATCTGATTTATGTTTTTGGCCACCTAAGCAATTATGGTTTATTTAAAAAAAATTGAAAACAAAAGCTTTCATTCAGGAATATAACACCCAACACAAGTACACATGGACAATTAGTCCTAACTAATTTAAATTTAAGAAGATTTCATTTTTCAAATGGCAAAGAAAATTGGAGTCGAGGCGGGTTTGGGAGACCATCTCCAACAAGGACGGGAACGGGAATTTCTGCAAAAATTCTTATCAGGATGAAAGCAGGGACAAGAATAGTATTGTCAGATTTTGCCCCAAACCAGTCCGTTGTCATCCCTACTCCCAAAAAAAACCAATTTAATTACTCACTGCACCCACAAAAATTAAATCTATTTTTTCTTTTTTGAAATCAATTGAGAAAGGTAAATCACGAAGACTCTCCGATAAAATCGTATATACAATGTAGTAAATTCTGATCTTTACCATCACAAAAACACCCAAATTTTAGAAACAAAAGTAATTTGTAAAATAATTTACACCCTTTACATATTCGGAGTTCATGGGGAAAAAACCAAATTGACATGGTATCGGCTAAAATGCGTAATTTGAACTAAAACGTGCGTTTTGCTGGAAACTAACAACGACAATGCGTTTAGTTAAAATCAATCCGCGCAGGGAACAGGACACAGGGTTCCCTCTCTCAAATTGCTTCGTCGTTGCCGTTGTGTTGGCGAACAACGGGAACCTGTAACTGTAAGTCTCTGTCAGCTCTTTCCTTCGTTTCGTTTTTTAGGGTTAGGCTTAGCGTCTATTTCTATTTGTTGTTCTACAGTGAAATTGGGGGTTTACAATTCACTTCTGTCCCAAACCCTAGATTGATTACCCAATACTCGCAATTGTTTTTCTTTCTTGAAAATGGATTCAATTGATCCTTCTAAGGGCATGAGCACGCTTGACGCGACCATGGAAGATAGCTGCGGTGCCCGACCTAAAGCACCGCGGAAGAAAATGGGGCCCGTAGAGAAGGAGGCATCTGTGCACGAAGAAATGAAGAGGATGCAGAAGCTGCCTGCAAACAGTACTTATGTCACTCATCGGTTGCGGGTTCTCAACAAAATTCTGCAGCTTTTGTCCATTCAGGTACACAAAAATTGGATTTTTATTTGCTATATAAAGCATGGTTTGGCTATTAACCTTAGATTGCTCGTAATATGCAATGGGTTTGTTGCTTAAGTGAATTATAATCTATTGGTATTGGAGACCCACAAGATAAAGTTGTTTAATTTTGCAGTTTTGTTTTTGTTAATTACCAGTTTGCTCTGCTGTGATGTAGAGCATGATATTCTGTGTTTTGTGTATGATTCTGATTAGAAGTAGAAGAGAAATGAATATTATACCAGTATTTGACACTATTTTGCTGTTCCTCTTGCTCCCTTGTATATCAGAGAACTGCATCACAAGAACAGGAGTTGGAGTTGCTTTTTGCTGGGCTTTCTATGTGAACCCAACCAACCTTTTTCAGGCAGTGGTCAGTTCCAGTTGAAATTTTATTTTGTGGAGTTAGATATACGTAACTACTATTTTAGTGCTCTGTTTCAACCGGCTGACAAATAGTTTAATTATTTGTTGTGTTTGATATATGTATATACTGTTAAAACATGAAACAAAATAGCTCATGGTATAGGGAAAGTTTATTTTATTATCTGTTCACTTGGATCCTCATTTTCTTCCCAAAAGAAGGAAGGGGAGTAATCTACGTACAATGGAAAATGCAAGTGCGGTTTCATGTAAAGACGGATAGAGAAATGTATTGGTTTTGGCTGAATATCAGATGCATAAATTTGTTGTTTTTTGTAGTCACAAAACCTTGCTCTGCCAATTTTCTTTCTCTAGGATCTTATGTTGGTTAGAAGACACTGTTCTTGTTATGAAACCTTCATTGTCTTTTTTAATCATTGAGTACTGTCCAGTTTTTTAGTCGAATAGGTGTCCATTATTGCTATACAAATTTCATTTTTTCTCAACCTCATGCAGATCCTGGGTAAGATACTACACTTTGCAGTATTTGTTCTGATTTGTTAATCAAATGCATTGCAGAATCTCCCGTCATGGATATCTGTATTTTTGGAAACCTGGGTTCAGATCTGTTCCGTTACGCACTGAAGATTGTATGTTTTTGGCAAGCTAAACATCTCTCTTGTGTCTCTCAGAAGAAAAAAAACATCTCACTCTTGTGACTATCTTTTGTATATACCTTTTCAAAGTTTCTAAGCTTTAAGTTGACCAACATTGTGAATATTTTTGTTTTTGTTTTTCTTGTATCCTTGCCTGTTGAGTCTTGACATGGTTGAACTGTACGCCATTGTGGTATATGGAGGAGAATAGTATACTATCAATTTGGCATTTTCATTTCCCATTTTATCGGATGGGTCATTCTTGGTTTGGGTTTTATATGGATGTAATTTTCAGCTATTTGATTAAGAATATTCATCCAAGAAGAGATGATAGAGGATCTAAACTTATTTATTTTTTGTTTTGTGATCATATACAGTTATACTCCTCACATCTTAAATCATGTACAACCCCTCGCAAATAAGTGGTTAGTGTATTCACCAGTTTGAGACTTACCATTGTACTTCTCAATCCTCAAATTGCTGTTCTTCTTAATGGCTTAAAGATGGTTAAACTAGGCTATTTGACCCTTAAATTTGGCTTGAAATGATCATCTTATTCAGGCCAGTGATGTGTGAGATGGGATTTGAATTAGCATTTTGCAAGCTCACGCTTCAGAGGGATTAGCTATCTCAAAGCACGTGCCCTCTCTTACCAAAGCTGTCATCCGAAAGGCTTGTTCTCACTATAAACTACGCAATTAGCTGTTCGAGCCAGCAACACAACAGGAGACAGAGAAAAAAGAAATGGACAAGAAATCCCGTCTTTTGTTTAAAGAATCGAAATTTAGTACGGGCGTCATGTACCTCACCGATGATGCGATGCTATGCGACGACAGAGACATAGAGGCGGGACGTTGCACTATCAAGACTAGGGAGGGAAGAGTGGAAGCTTCAGTTCCTTCCCGAGAACGTAGAGTACCTTGCCCGTCAGAGTATAATGTGTCTCAACAGGCTCGGTTCGGGACTATGTGAAGCAGTTCACAACCGTCGATCTTGGACGTCACCGAGATGGGGGAGAAGGATCGACTCTTCTTCTCATGGACTCAAAAAGTGGGCGGAGCTAGAGTTGCCAATAAGTGAAGGATATAATGATTCATGCAATATCACTTGTTAAAAAAAAGAAAAATTTGTATTTGTATTTATTTAAAAATGAAACGTTTCAAAAATTTACTTAATATTTCTTTTCCCAATGTTGCTGCTAATTTATCCTCCTTTGTAACTCCAACCTTCCATTTGGATGAAGAAATTGAAAATTACATAGAATTCTAAAAAGAAAGAATTTAGATTTCTATCATTTCAATTTTTGGCAATTAAGTGTTTGAATTTATGTATGTCGAATTTTGTAAATGACATTATGAGAATTGTGAAATGACGCCTATTTCAATGAAAAATAACCTTGAGAATTTTGCACCAATGGAACCTGTCACCGTACTATTTTGAAGTTTCAACCATCTTTTTCTTATCACCGGAAAAAAGAAAAATTTTGCACCAAACCTTCACCTGAGTTTTGATCTACTGAAAAAAATGGGGATACGGGATTTCATTTCCGGGACGACCGATTCACTGCAACGCAACGCTCCGGATCTAACGGCCGTGAAGAACTGGTGCCCCACACCCGGTTCCCTCAAACGGATCGTACCAAATGTAACGGCTGCGAAGAACGTGTGCTCCACCGCTTACGGTTATGGGTCAGCCACCGTTACCCATATCGATATCGCCGTCAGGGTTAACCTAAACCACTACCTTCAGGACGAGGAAGCCCGGTCCAAGATCCTCCAGTTGGGCAAGAGCATCGTTACACACGCCACCATCGAGGGCCTCAAAACCATCCCAGGTTTATCTACTTCCTCGTATCACTTGTTACATTACTTTTAATTTTTTTTTAAAAATTTATGAGAGACTCCAATATAAGCCCATACAACTGATATTCCCTAGACACAAACCCATCTATCTATATAACTACGTTGAAAACCCAAATTCAAATTTAAATGACTAGTAGGATATAAGAGGTCGTAGTATTTCTATGTTTTTACATCGTTGCCACTAAACTTCATATTTTATTTATAATTTATTTCAAGCATTTCATTAACTGCCATAATTGTAATTAATATACTCCCTATTAATAACATATCAATCACCCCATTTCTTTTAGCTGTCATTCCCTCTCACATCTCGCCCCTTAAAATTGCAAC